ACAGAAGGCGAGACAGCAGATTTGTTTTGACTTCTGGAGCTGTGTATACTGTTATACGTATGTCTGTGCTGGGGTAAAGTGGACAAATACACGGGGGGTACAGACTTTTTTTTTTTTTGCCGTGATGATTTTCTGTTGGACTAACATTTTTTGCATTGAACACAACAAAACAGAACACCACACAATAGCACTTTTCTATCTTCAAGGCATTTTAAGCTTTTTACAGGAAGAAACCACTTACCCGTTCACACACGCATTCATTCATGCACTATTGTGAGCAAGCACTGGAGGCAAGGTGGGTTAAGTGTCTTGCCCAAGGACACAACAACAGTATTCATGTGTGGAAGCTGGAATGGATTTTTCTTTTGTGTTTTTTTTTTTTTTTTTTTTTTAAGTTGAACGAGTATCTAGCATAGATTAGAATCTGATTTTCAGTACTTTTACCATTTTTTCCTGCCTGATGACCCTCAGAGCTCAAGGTTACATTACAACAATCACAATGTAGATTTATTGTTAGTGTAAATCTAGAAATCAAACAAAAACTATGTTCATGTTGAATTCTCTGACACTTGTTATTGTTTAGCTCCTGACTCCTGATTTGGTCCTAGTCCTGGTCTAGTCCTGGTCTAGTCCTTTATTTAAATCTAAATAGAAAGAGTGCATGTGTCTATGAAATGTCTGGACATCTCTGTAGGCCACCGGATTTTGTTCCAATTTGGTCCTAATTTGATCCTGGTTCAATCCTGATGTAGACTTGGTCCTAGTCCTGGTTTAGTCCTGGTCTTGTCCTAGTTTAGTCCAGGTTTATTTCCAGTCATTAATCAGTTAATAGTCTAAACACTGTAGGCAACCAGATTTTGTTTCAGTTTGGTCCTGATTTAATCCTGGTTAATTCCTGATGTACAGTAGACTTGATTCTATCCCCATGCTTTAGTCCTGGTCTACTCCTGGTTTGGTCCTGATCTAGTCCTGGTTTAGTTTCAGTAGTAGTCATTTAAGTCTAAATAGAAAGAATGCATGTGTCTATGAGATGTCTAGCCATCCCTGCAGGGAACCAGATCTTGTTCCAGTTTGGTCCTGGTTTGATCCTGGTTTAGTTCTGATGCAGACTTGGTCCTAGTCCTGTTTTAGTCCTGTTTTAGTTCTAGTTTAGTCCTGGTCTAGTCCTGGTTTAGTTCCGGTCATTAGTCAGTTAATAGTCTAAACCAGGGATGTCAAACTCATTTTGGTCCAAGGGCCGTATCCAATCTACTTTAATCCCTAAGGGGCCGGATCAGAAAAATGGCATATATAAAACAAAAATAGCAATAAGTTCAAATATTTGTGCAGAGAAACGCAAAACTATTACAGAAATCTTTTTTAATTGATTAACTCTTTCTTTTATAAAATATTATAATGAACAACCTGAAACTTTAAGAAAAATGCAATTTCAACACAATGTTTTAACATGAACTTGTTTGCAAATAGGAATAAGTCAATTTTTCCTGGAAAATCCTGCACTCGGGGGCCAATTTTCTCATTTTTGACATTTTGCTGATGAGGGTGTCATGGTCAACAGTCAAAATGATCATCCTTTAAGAGTGTTTGGAAAGAGCCAAGTCTTCATTTGTGCTGCTCTGGTGGGAGGGGCCATGTACAGAGACGCTGGAGACGTTGCTATGCTCAGCACCGCAGAAAATTACCAATATTTTAATAGAAAATATAATTAAAATATTTTAGTAGAAAATCAGCCGAGGGCCAGATTAAAGGTCTTGGAGGGCCAGATCTGGCCTCCGGGCCGTATGTTTGGAACCCCTGGTCTAAATACTGTAGGCAACCAGATTTTGTTCCAGTTTGGTCCTGATTTGGCCCTGGTTTAATCCTGATACAGACTTGATCCTATCCCTGCTTTAGTCCTGATCTATTCCTGGTTTAGTCCTGATCTATTCCTGGTTTAGTCCTGATCTAGTCCTGGTTTAGTTCAAGTATTAGTCCATTAATAGTCTAAATAGAGAGAGTGCATATGTATATGACAAGTCCAGCCATCGCTCATTCACATTCACAAGTTATAGGCAAGATAGGTAAAGTGTCTTGCCCATCAACGCGCTGTCAGTCACGGAAATTGAACTGTCAAAGTGCACCAAGTGAACTGCACATCTCTAATGAACAAAAGTTAAAAAGGTACCTCTTAAACCTTTGGAGATGTAGCCAAAGATTACTCAAACATGTGTGAATGAAAGAAAACACAACTCCAGGAATGTTTGTGAGGAGTTAACAATTTTCTAACATGGCTTAAAGTTCACAGGAGAAAAGTTTGTGTAACATAAGACCTTTAATTTTACATATGGAAACATTGCCGAGCTTCAGACATCCTTAAAGATTTGTGTGAACTTTTGCCAGCTGAAAATAGTTACTCATTTTTCCCATTGTTAACAGATGGCAGTGAACATGTCCTGCTGTCTTTCTGACTCACATTGTCAAACTGTATAATTGGAACTCAGCCATGTTCTGTCTTTATGGGGAAAAAAAAAAAAAAAAAAACCTACTGTACCTTTCTGCATGAGGAAAGTCAATACCAGTAGATCTTTGTAATTATCTGTTTGGCATTTCAGACTTGAATGCAAAATGACAATTCCGAGCACGCACCATGGATTTTCCAATTAGATTGATTTGCAGAAGAAAGACATATTTTTAGACCATGACAAATCTTCTGCAGTGCTCCTCACGTGGGTCAGATAACGGTGATGGTATATGATTCTTCGATTAATTATCTTTAAGATTATTCTGACTTTGTTTTGTTCTGAGTTAAGTTAAAGATGATTCATGTAACTTTTCTGTCATTTCTCTCCAGCGATTAGATCAGGAATCGGAATACACATGACGGTTTGCAAGAATCCTGGAATTTGGTAGACCGCACACCGGCCAGTCAGAGAAGAGCTGTGAAGCCATGACTCTGTCCCTTTTTGTGGTACAGTACAACAGTAAACGAAGCGGTCGAGATGGATGTAGACGAAGATGTACATTCTGTGTTCGCAACGATTCCTGAGTTTGAGGATTTAAACCCGAACATAAGAGAATTTTGGTGAATTTTATCAAGGGGAAAGACGTTATTGCCCTTCTTCCTATGGGATTTGGGAAAAGTTTACCAGTTAGCCCCATTAGTGGAGCATTACATACGTCACAACCAAATAGCAGCGATTGGTTAAATGAAAAAAGTAGTGGCCTACCGTCAAGCGAACGAATCCTAATGCTGCGAGGTCAGACGGTTTCCACAAAGTGAAACCAGCTGATGAATCAGGCTATCGACCACCTACTTGTCTCTGAGATGTTATTACTTTGCCTGGAATGTTCCACAATATGGCCACAATGTGTTTTCAGGTTTTTGTAATTATGACTTGGTTTTGTGGGATAGTATCTGTGATAAATATGTATTGTAGTCAGCTGGTTTATGAAAAAATGTTTACAAGATAAGTATTTACAAAAATAGAGGAAACAGCATAGCATAGCATTTCTGCATTGATCTCTGTCATCAATGTAGAAAATTACATCCAAAATGCAGAGACAACAAAACAACTGTGTCATAATTTATTTTCATTAGTCAAAACTATTGTGCAAGTTGACAAGTTGACCTTTGTTAATATTATGGCTGCAGGAAACAGTTATGGAATTATCACTAAATACGTCACATCTGCTGCCCGTGTCCAACAATCCGTCTTCTTCTGCTTATCGTAGGTTGCAAAGGCGGCAGTCTGAGCAGGGACTCCCAGACTTCCCTCACCCCAGACACTTCCTCCAGTTCCTCTATGGGGAACCCAAGGTGTTCCCAGGCCAGCTGAGAGACATCTCTGGGTCTTGTCTGGGGTCTCCTCCCTGTTGGGACATGAACACCTCCCCAGAGAGCCACCTCAGCTGCTCCGCTCAATGTGGAGGAGCAGCGGCTTTACTCTGAGCTCCTCCCATGTGAATGAGCAAATCTGTGGACAAAACAAATTTTGACTCTTGTTTGGCCTTAAAGAGGACCTGCTTCTTCCTGTTTCCATTAAATAATCTTCTTCTGGCTATAACATTATAACATAAAACAAGATGCTCCTAACTATGGTTTTAACTTTCTCTTTCCAGATGATGTACCACCTCCAGAAAGTTACATACAAAATACATTTACAAAATACATTGTTAATTGTTGTTGTCGTATATTTATTTTTCTTTGAACGCTTCATTCCTTGGATTAACTATTTCGTACTTTTTTTTAGCTTTTACAAGTAAACTACTCACTTCTTCCATCCTATTACTGCCCCATCTCGTGCACAAATTGGGTGACCACACTGCAACCAAAGCTGAATGTTTATAAAAAGAAAGATTGTATTTCTTATTAACAAAGTAAGTAAGCAATCCCGTTTTCGCTCTGATATTTATTGGGGATTTTAAATGGAAATTACTCCATTATGACAAAGGCACCAGACACCAAACACTTTGCATTATGAATGGTTCTGGCTCCCATATTTCCCCGTGACCGCCTCTGCTGCGCTCCTCTCTCTCCACATCTTCACAGAGACGCAGAGAAGCGCTCCTATAAAGAGGGATTTTCCATTTGCGCTTTTCTAAATCACGCAGAGCTTCTTGAATGGACGCATATTTTTACGCACAGCCCATCACCGCAGGAAAGCGCACCAAAAAAGAAAATCTACAGTTAGGATATTACTGGAATTCAGAATTTTAAATTTTGTTTGATTTGTTTAACTTGCTCGACTTTGCATATTTGTGTTTTATTTTGCAGTTCCACGTTAACAACAAATATAGTAAAGTAAAAATACGAATAAATAAGCTACAACTGAATCGCCCAATATTCAAATTTAATTCAAAACTGTCCAACCAAAGTAAAAGTTCTGAATTCAGGTGATTTTATCCTACGTAGATGGTGTTTTCTTTTGGGCAGTGAGCGCGCAGAGGAGATGGAGTCGGATTTGGATGAGAGCTCGTGCCAGAACGCCTCGTGCACAGCTGAGCAGTCCTTGGCGCGGAGCATGTGGCTCGCGGGGGTGGCCATCGCGTCGATCTACGCCGTTATCAGCGTTTTGGGACTCATCGGGAACGTGACCTTGATCCGGACCTTCTGCTCGGCCAAATCCATCCGCAACGTGCCGAACCTGTTCATGTCCAGCCTCGCGCTCGGAGACGTCCTGCTGCTGGTCACGTGCGCTCCCGTGGACGCCAGCCGGTACCTGTCCGAAGAGTGGCTGTTCGGACGCGTGGGGTGCAAGGTGATCCCGTTCATCCAGCTCACGTCCGTCGGGGTGTCGGTGTTCACGCTCACGGCTCTTTCCGCGGACAGGTACGGCAACGCGCGACTAATAATCAACAGGTTTAATCATCATCATCTACGGGTTTAATTGGATTTGTTCACGTGTAATAGTTAAAACCACGGAAAATGACTAATTAGCATATTAAAAAAAACATGTCATAACTTTTCATGACTTGGTTATGTTCGTTTAATTTAAAGTTGCACTACATAACTTTTTGGTTGGGGCTCCGTCACCTGCTGTTTTCTATGGATGTGTCATTGCTCTGCCTGGAATGTTCCGCAGTATAATATTAAGCTCTACTTTATATTTTTGAAATTACAGGTAGTTTTATAGCTCAAAAACACCTCGAAATATCAGTATATCGTATCGTTTAATGTGATGTTATACTATCGATATCGTGGCCTGCTGTATCGATATGTTTATTAATTTGCCTTTTGGATATTTCATAGCAAAGTACAATATTAAAGGTTCTAGGGCTGAGCAAAAATATTGAAATATCAATATATCTTATCCTTTAATGTGGTGATACAGTATCGATATCATGGGCTGCTGTATCGATATATCGCCAAGAGTATGTTTTGGTATATTTTACAAAATTATTTTGTTACAGTGCTATGGTTTTGTTGCTTGTTCGGAGGAAGGAAACTCATTTATGCGACACATTTGACATTTTCACTGTTTTGATGATTTAAATTAGTTTGTTTCATGTGAACTTTGCACAAGACGTGGTTTAACACAGACTTTTAGTATCACAGCCATCATTTAGACTTTGTTTTTTATTAATAAACTGCATCGAATCGATTTTAAATATATCATATAGAATCGAAAGTTCACAGTATCGAGATATGTATCATATCATGGTCCATGTATCAGCAACTTCTTAATGATACCCAGCCCTAATTCTGACTGTATGTGACCTCTCCACAGATCTGACCTGTAACTTGGTCTGGTTTGGTCTCCATGAAGATAGAAAAGTTTAATGCCATACTGTGAAACATTCCAGACAATGTAATTACATCTCCATGGAGAAAAGCATTTGATGGACCATCCACCAGAAAAGTTACACAATGCACCTTTAAAGCTACCCTACGTAACTTTTCTGGTAGACTTTGACTTGTTCATTTAATGTAAAGCTGCACCATGTAACTTTTTTGATGAAGGGTATGTGCTTGTTATTGCTTTACTTGGCATGTTCCACAGTACAGCTTTTCTGTTTCACAGAGACAACCAGACCAAGTTACAGGTCAGATCTTTGAAGATGCGACACCACAACTTTAAATTGTATTTTTGTGCAATAAAAACACCTGTAATAAAAAAAAATATATATATATATATATATATATATGTTTAAAATCATATTGCGGAACATTCTTGGCATTGCAATTATCTGTCTCCATAGAGATAAATAAAGATTATAATGCCATATTGTGGAAATTTCCAGGCAATATCTCCATAGAGAAACACCTGAGAAGTTACATAGTACATCTTTAATAATAATTTATGCTTTTTGTTAATTTTGTTTAATTATTAATATTTTACTTTTTACATGTATTTCTTGTTTATTTTCCATCACAGCAGAATTCAAACGAACTCCAAGATGCATTTAAATTTATTCAACCTTCCGTCACCAAATCAGTAGAGTCGGAAAATGCTTCAAGGATTTCAATTTTTAAGCATTTTTTCCACTTTTACAATAGACTATTCAGAATAACTATTGACTTATTGTTCAGTTTGTTTCCTTTATTTGCACTATTGTTGTTTTGGTTAAAAGCTCTCCTTCTAAAAAGCACAATTCTGCCTCATATTAACCTTTTTTTTCACTGCAAGTTTGATTCTTTTTATTATATCTTCCTTTTTCTCTTCTGTTTGTGATGAGTACATTTGGCAAAGGGTTTTCACTAGAAGCCGTATCAGTGTTATAAAACTTTATATTATTATTATTATTATTCTTTATCCCAGTATTTTCAGCAATGTTCCCAACTTCAATATTTTTCCAAAAGCCGTATTGGAGTTGTAATCCATTCGGTTCATTTCCATTGGGACCAAGATCCAGTTTTTGCTTTGATTATTTGCAAAAAACACCAAAACTTCAAACTCAATTTCAATACTGAGGAATACGAAGGATCTGATACTCAATACTGATTCTGGTACCACAATGATAATGACAAAACACTCTTTATTTTAGACCAGGGGTCCCCAAAACCCAGGGCCGGGGCCAGGACCGGTCCGTGGTTCGTTTGGTACCGGGCCGCGAAAGCACAAACCCCCCCTCCCATACACTGCAGGGACCGTCTCCCCTCCTGTACGTTGCACGGGTTGCGCACTAAACCAGAACTAAACCACTAAACCAGGTCTAAACTAGGACTAAAACAGGACTACATCAGGTCTAAACCAGGACTAAACCAGGTCTAAAACAGGACTAAACCAGGTCTAAAAACAGTTCTAAAACAGGTCTAAACCAGGACTAAACCAGGTCCAAACCAGGACTAAACCAGGCCTAAACCAGGACTAAACCAGGTCTAAACCAGGTCTAAAACAGAACTACATCAGGTCTAAACCAGGACTAAACCAGGTCTAAAACAGGACTAAACCAGGTCTAAAAAACAGTTCTAAAACAGTTCCAAACCAGGAATAAACCAGGCCTAAACCAGGCCTAAACCAGGTCTAAACCAGGACTAAACCAGGTCTAAAACAGGTCTACATCAGGACTAAACCAGGTCCAAACCAGGTCCAAACCAGGTGTAAAAACAGTTTTAAAACAGGTCTAAACCAGGACTTAACCAGGTCTAAAACAGGACTACATCAGGTCTAAACCAGGACTAAAACAGGTCTAAAACAGGTCTAAACCAGGACTAAACCAGGGCTAAAGTAGGACTAAACCAGGTCTAAAAACTGTTCTAAAACAGGGTCTAAAACAGGTCTAAACCAGGACTAAAACAGGTCTAAAACAGGTCTAAACCAGGTCTAAAACAGGTCTAAACCAGGACTAAAACAGGTCTAAAACAGGTCTAAACCAGGTCTAAAGCAGGTAAAAAAAAAACGATCTAAAGCAATTTCTAAAGCAGGTCTAAACCAGGTCTAAAACAGGTCTAAACAGGACTAAAACAGGTCTAAACCAGGACTAAACCAGGTCTAAACCAGGTCTAAACCAGGTCTAAACCAGGTCTAAACTAGGACTAAACCAGGTTTAAAACAGTTCTAAAACAGGGTCAAAAACAGGTCTAAAACCAGGAGTAAAACAGGATTCGGTTGGGGACCACTGATTTGGACAATGTGATTTTCAACATTAAATCATAGCACTTTCTTTTATATTTCCTTCTGGTCTGTATAATCCTTCAGTGGTCCAGGTAGGTTTTACAGTGGTCCATGGGCGTGTACTAGTTTATGTGCTCTTATATTGCTCTTATATATCTTATATATTTGTTCCGAAACAGCTCAAGATAATTCTAAAACTATCTTGTGTATGTGACTTTTTTAGTATCTATTCTTATTCAAATGAAGCGTCTAGTTTCGATACAAGTTTTAGCTTCGATTAATAGTTGATTTTACTTTTGACAGCCCTACATAAATTCGTTCTCTCTCGTTCTTCTCTCTTTCTGGTTTGGTTTTGGTCAATATCAGGCAAAGGTTGAGTGAAGCCCACAGACGCGAGCACAGCCTGTTCTCTGATCTGGTTCGATTTTTGTTTCTATGGCTACAACCATCAGACTGGATCTTCTATAGACACCAATTTACATATTATACAGGGGACTGAGCAGAGTAAGAGGAACGAAGTACTCTCACGGACATAATGTAATTATAGCCTGAAAATTACAATACAGCACAGAAAATCCAGGTTGCGTTTGTGTAATTTAATAACAAGATGAGTGGCCACATTGTAATTGTTTCTATGTGATGTTTATGCTGAAAGTGAATTATTCTTACAGTCTGAACATGCAGTTTTATCAAGGTTATGAATGTGAATGTTGAATTAATTTCAGTTTATATGAGAAAAAAAAGAAAGAAAAAAAAATCTTTGTGAGCTCTTTGAGTGGTCAGAACTTAGAAGATTTTTTTTTTTTGTGTGGAGAAATGGCAACCTGACAAGATCCATTAAATATTAGCAGGCATGGGCAGTAATATATTTGGTCAATTAAATTTACTTGAGTAAGTTTTTAAATAAATTGTACTTTTCAAGCAGCAAACTTTTACCCCGATTTGAATAACATTTTTATTGAAGTAACCAGGATTTGTAAGTCGTGACTTGGACTCGAGGCAGACTTGTGTCACTATTTTTACGACTTGAGACTTGACTTGATAAAATGGACTATGACTTTGGACTCGACTTGGACTTGCAGGTCAATGACTTGGGACTTGACTTAGACTTGAGCTCTGTGACTTGAGAAGACTTGATGCTTCTCCTAAAAACATATATATGGTGATTAATTTTATAGGAACAAACTGGATTTCTGTGTGGAGTTTGCATGTTTCTCCCCGTGTCTGGGTGGGTTTCCTCTGGGCGCTCCGGTTTCTCCCATCAACCCAAAACATATTACAGAGGTCTCCAGGAAGAACAGTTATAGGTCAATTAAAGTCAATTAAATACAATCAATCAATGAACCTGCCCAGGGACGACAGGTGGAAATTAGCCCTGGTGCTACAACCTGGTACAACCTGGTACAATGCATCTCCCCTCTTTGTGTGCAGTCCCTGTCTCATTAAATAAATAAATAAATAAATAAATAAATAAATAAAAACATAAATAAATAAATACATGAGCATGTCCCTCCCACTTCTCTGTTTGGTTCTTTTGATGGAACTGAAGTACTGTGATGTGGTATCCTCAAATATAGTGCAGTAATATACAGTAAAATTCAGTAATATATAGTACAATACAGCAATATATAGTGCAATACAGTACAATTGAGTAGAATACAGTACAGTAGAGTAATATATAGGACAATACAGTACAATACAGTAATATACAGCGCAATACAGTACAATAGAGTACAATACAGTGCAATAGAGTAATACATAGTACAATACGGTA